CAGCTCCCCAGCCCCGCTCCGGTTCAGCACCGCGGACACCTCCGGCCGTCCCGCCGCTCCTGCCGGCGCCTGCCCCGCGGGCCGGACCCCGCTCCCTGAAACACCCGATGTAAAAGCCATTTCCACTGGTTTGTCACGACTTCATCCTCCCGACCTGAACGACCCTCTGCCAGAATCCGCCAGCTCGGGTTTCCCAGTCTCTGCTGGAAGGGTGCCCTTGTGAACTGCCGACCCAGGCCAGGGGACTTTCTCAGACAGTTTGCCTTTAGAAACAATTCATACTAAGTGTCCACGTGCGTTAAGGAGTCACCCCAAATCCCTGCTTCTGGCCACACTTTTTTGCACTTCGTTGCAGAAGACATTAGGCAGGCACAGACAGCAGTGTCCCTCGGCAGGGCCCAGCAGTAGTCTTCACCCGCACTCCTCGGAATGGATCGGGGAGGGGAGGAGGAAAAGAATAAAAGGGACAAAAACAAAAAATAAAAAGAAAAAGAGAAAAAACTTAAAGGACATTCGTAATATTATTATTTTGGAGCCTGTCAGCAGAGAACACTCGCACATGCTAAACTGCAGGCTTTCCTCTGCTTCCGCGCTCAGCGTTTCTGGTGACCACAGAAGCGGCTCCAGACATCTGCTGTCTGCAAGTCCGGGAAAGCGAAATTAAAACAATGAGGAAAATGTGCCTGAGCCCAGCCCTGGAGGTGGCACTCCGCTGGCTCGCAGCGACACCTAGAGCTCGGCACACGGCCGGGAAGGGCCCCGTGTCCCCAGCCACACCGGGAGAGAGTCACGAGTGGGTGCTGGCGCCCGGGGAAGGTCCCGGTGCCTTCCTGCACTCAGCCAGGGCCAAGGGGCAGCAGTGCCAAGATCGCTGCCGGTGAGCAGGTCACAGGAAGAGTCAGTTCGGGTCCCTGTCACTGCTGTCCTCCAGGGCTGTCAGCACTCAGTCACCTCGGGGAGAGGTTTAGGTCGATTAGCCCCATCGCTGACAGAAGTGCTCTTGCTCTGTGGTCCACAAAAGTCTTTACGAAGGGACGGGAGAATGGACAGGGATTTAAAAGATAATCCGAGGACATTTCCCTGCATACACAACTCTCTCCTCTGAGTGAAGCAGCTCTGCTGTTGTGGCTTGAAGCTGTGCCTTGCTTGGGAAGGCTCCCAGAGCCAAAGCTAAACCCTGCTGCAAAGCTTTTCGTCCCACTCGGGCAAGAAGTATTTTTAACAGACACAAACATTATTCCCAACTGCAGCCATTTGCTTCCCCTTGTGTGTGCTTCCACAGAGGCAAAACACACTCAAATCCCTCTGCAAACCTAACACCAGCCAGCCATACGGAGCCACATGTTTTGATCTATCACTGGCCCTTGTTCTCTCAGCCTGTCCCCTTCCTCGCCACCCCGAAAGAACCAGGAGCAATCGGCCCGGACTAGTTTAACTCCATCGGACACAGCAGGCACCAGAGGCCCGGATTAGTCACTCGTTACTAAGGCGATATGCAGATGCACCCTTTGAAGCAGCGGAAGGTGCGTGGCCGAAGTTTTCGGCTTCCCCGCGGGGGCTCACCCAGGGGCAGCGAGGAGGGGGGCCAGAGGGACCCAGAAACGGCTGCGCAGGGGTTAAAAAGTTTCCCTGCTGTCAGGTTAGGAGGAGACCGACAGGAAAGCGAGGAGGGAAGGGCAAGGTGAAGAATTCTGCCCCGCGAGAGTGTTAAAGGGTAAAGTAAAGAATAAAAATAAAAATAAAAATAAAAAAAATAGGGGGGGTGGGAGTCTTGTCGCGTAGCCTGGGGGCAGCAGGACGGAGCTGGCACTCGGCGTTTCCGAAGGAGCTGACCCCGCGGTCCCAGCCCCGCTCCACGGGAGCGGAGAGCCGCGAAGGAGCTCTGGCCCGGGGAAACGGGGAGAGCTGCGGGGACAGCGCGGGGCCGGGCGGGTCCCGGCTCCGCTCGACTCCCAGCGGGCTCCGTCCCGTACTATTCCCGGCACTTCAGGGCGAGAAGAGCAGCGCAAAAGAGCCGCCTGGAAAGAAGAGCGGACAACCCGCAAGAAATCGCTGCCAGCTCAGAGGGGCACACAGCCATCCCGCAGGACAGGGGGCGGGGAGGGGGGGCACCCAAAACCCAACCCAGCCCCACGCGAACGACACGGGCGCTTACATCCTCCTCCTCGCAGTCACTTCGCTGCTGGTACTGGAAGCGGGGCCGGCTGCCTTCCTGTTGCAATGGACGCGGGGTCTTGCCGGCAGCGCCGTCCTCCTCGCTGCTCTGGGCGCCCAGGAGGTGACTCGCTTCGGGGGGAACGGGGAACGAGCGGGAGGTGTTGATCTTCCCGCTGAACCGCTGGTACAGTGAAGCCATGAAGTCAATCCGCGGGAAACGAGGGAGAGGGAGGGCAAGAGAGCCGTTTCTTTTTGTTTTTTTTTTCTTCCCCTCCTCTCTTCTTTTTTGGCTACAGCATGCTACACGCGGGTGAGGATCAGTCCCACATCAGCGGGAGGGAGAGCGAGGGATCCTGCTCCCCGGTCCTCTGCACCGGCACCCGGAGAGAAGCCGGGGGGTCCAAGAGAGCAGAGACGGGGGAGTGATGAGAGGAAGAAGAGAGAAGATAGACAAATAAATAATAAAACGCAATCGAGCCGTAACACCACAGGCCCCGGGAATGCTGCACCATCCAGTGTTGGGAAGGAAAAAAAAACAGAAGAGAAAAAACAATAACCAAAACACTCCACGAAGACGTACCCCCGATAATGGCGCCTGAGTGGATCAGCATTAAATGTGCTTTGGGGGTGTGCGTGTGTGTTTGCAAAAGCAGGAAAAAAAAAAAAAAAAAGGAAGGGGGGCTGGCTCAATCGCTGGCTGTCAGTGGCTCCCCAGGCAGAGGTGGCGGAGCAGTCGCCTCCGAGGTCGCATACCAACAGTGTGCACAAGCAGAGTGACAGAGTGTGTGAGACGGAGTGGAAGAGGCTGGGAAGCCTCATTCAAAGCACGTTGCTCTTCTTGGGAAGGAGGGCTCTTCTACGATCATCTCCTTTTCGGTACCTTCTGGGGTTTTTTCCCCTGCCTTTTTTTTTTCCCGGGGAAACAACTCAAAAAAAGGAAAAAAAAAAAAAAATAAAAAGGCAACAGACACCTGATCGCCAGCAGAGAGAGAGAAAAAAGAGGTGGGGAGGGGGAAGGCGAGGCTGGGAGGCGGGACCGGGAGCTGGAGGGGCTCGGGGATGCTGCTGAGCGCGGAGTGGCTCGGCCCCGAGGAAGGGGAGAAGAAGGAGGGCGAAGCCTCCCCACTGCCCTGCCCTGCCCCAGCGGGCACGGCTCAGCCCGGCAAGCGGGCACTGCCCGGTCCCCGTCCCTCCGCCCGTCCTCCTTCCCCACGGCCGGGGAGAGGAGGGAGAAGAGGGGGGTTGCGTGTTTTTTTTGGAGGTGGTCGTTGTCGTCGCTTTTTAAAATAATCCGGTAAATCGCGTCTCTTACTATTTTTGTATTAATTCATTTTTGCTGCATTAAAACGTGCTTCAGCGCCCCTCAGCGGAAATCCGCCCAAAGCTGCTCCCGGCGGCTCCGGCCGGGGATAAACAACGGCGACCCCGGCGCCGGGGATGGATGCGGGGCTGGGTTTGGGGTCGGGCTGAGATCGGGGGCGGGACACGGCGGGATGCCCGGGCAGCGCCTTCGCTCGGAGCCGCGGGCGCCGCTCCCGGGCCGGGCGGGAGCTCCGGGCACGGCTCGGGCCGGGAGCTGCCCGCGGGTCCTGCCCGCCGGCCCAGCGCGGCTGCTCGGGACACAGGGGGACAATTCCTGCTGCTCCAGCGCCAGACAGCGGGTTTCCATAGCAACGGATGCTTGGGTTTAAAGGAAAGCGGCAGAGTTGCTGTCCCTTCTCCTGCTCTCCAAAATCCTCCCTTTTGACCTCTGAATTTATCAGAGATATTGTGATCATAGCACACAAAGCATAAAGTGGTGTTTGCCCGTTCCCGTTGAGAGACTTGCTGCTGAAGAGCTCACAAACTTCAGTATAATTTAACTAGTGGATTTTATGGGCTAAAATTCTGCTTCAAAACACTGTTCTTGCTTAAAGTTTTAGCTGTTAAGATAATACCATCTCTGATATATGTAATTTCATCAGTCTTAAAAAAACCCCACTTCAGTAGATCATGTATACAATATTCTAGAGTGCAACGATTTCCCCCTCCATGATTTCAATAGCTGCCTGATCAAAAATCTCTTTGTGTCTGAATGGTTTCATCCACTCCTTTTTATTTGTGTCTTCAAAGTCAGGCATGAAAAGTCTTAACATTTAGATGAAAAGGGGACCTTATCTCATCAAGAGAGAAAACAAAAACAAACGCTCTATCCCCTTCCTGATGGAACTTGAAAGAAGGAATCATTTTGATCTTCACAGCTGAGATCCTGACATTTAATTAAAAAACAAGTTGAGCACACAATGCTCTGAAGCAAAGGTCTGGCTTCTAAGTCACAACAGAAGTAACTTTCCAGGAGCCACTTGGACCCCTTGTAACTTCTGTTTCAGGCACAAACTCACTACCAAAAATCTGGACACATAGCTCAGCTAAATTCCACCTTGAACTGCATTCATGATTTTTGGAATAATCACAGCCTTATGATATTTTGAATTGGTGACAACTAGTATTGAAAAAACAGGAACTAGAGAATAAAATTAAAAGAAATAATACATTTTTAACTTCTAAGGAAAAACTAGGACACAAAGGAATAATCAAAGAAAGCCACAAAAAGGCAAGACGAAACCACTAGGCAGGAAAAACCAACAAAGATTAAGTGTCTGAATTAAAAAGTTTCAAAGGAAGTATAGAAAAAAGAAAACATTCAGCATCACAGCCCACTTCAAAACCAAAAGAGCCTCTAAGGACCAATTCAGATCCAAATACATTGTGGTTTTAATTCTTAAGAACCAAGATTTCACATAATTGAGTTTGCTTAGTCATGCACACATACATTGGACATGTATGTGTGTACACAATTCCTGGAAAAAATATATTAAAGGAATATAGAATTGCAATGTCAAATCCTTGAAAAGCTCAGTAAAAAACAAACAGCCAAATGGTTCTCATCCACCAAAAGATCCTGATCACGTAGCTTTGGGCTGTGATTCACTCACCCAAAAATAAATAATTACAGCTATTTAAAGGCACTTCTGATTCCAGCTCTCCCCTCCATGACAAACCAGGGACAGCAGAAACAATTTAATGCCGTGTTCTGGGTATCATGGTGGGTGAAGGATGTTTGCAAGACACATTTCTGTCACCCTGTTACAGCCAGAGTGACCTTGTGACATCGAGACGTGGCAGCAAAATGGCCCAAAACAAACAAACACCACATCAGGACTGGGGTTGCATTGCAGCAAAAGACCTTCTCAGCCCGTGGCAAAGTTTGAGGAGAAATGAGCAACCTGCATTATGAAACATGTGTAAAGAGGCAAAATATTTCAAAAGTACAAACACAAGGGTCTTTTTTTTTAAGCACACATCCTACATGTAAGAAAAATCCTTTCCATAAACCCCGCAATGAAATCCCAAGATAAAAATCAAGGCACTTCAAAACAAAGAGTCCTCAAGCATCTTTTAGTTGTATATTTAATTCAGTATCCAAAGTTTTGAAGGGAAGTTTAATTCCCAACTAGTGACATTTCCATCAAAATAAAGTGTGTTAGTTAAGACATTTTCCCTGCAGCTCCAAAGTATGTTTTACTGACATTTTTAAAGTGTTCAGAAAAAAAAAAATGACACTTTTTTCTCCCCATATTGTATAAATAAACAGTGTCCCCATATTTCAGCACTATTAATGTAACACAATCAAAATCAGGTCAAACCCAAGCCCTACTGCCTTTAAAACTTTACATTAAATATTTGTTTTCAGACAAATCAGCTCAGAATAACACTGGCAAAGAAACAATCCGGCAATGTTACTCCTGGATATTTTTTATTTAGATATAGCTTCTATCTGTCAGGGAATTCATGCATTCTTATTCATGCTCCATTCTTCTTTCTGACAAAGCAATTTATGAGCTTGCCATCTAAATAATATAGAGTTTGTTGCAGACAGAGCTAAACATGTTTCTGGTTTGCAAGTGGTGATAGTTATTAAGCAGCTGATTAGTGTGGGTTTTTTAAATAAATCTTTTTTCTCAATAGTTCAAGTACACTTTTTTATTATTTGAACTATTATATTTTCATTTTCCAATGAACTTGTGAAGGAATTTTAGAATTTCCTGGTTATTTATTTAATATCACTCCCAAAAAGGACAAGTTAGTATTTTCTCTTTAAATGATTGTATTTATTAATATAAAATATCTGGGGTTTTTATAATAGCAACTGTCTAGGCACTAGAGAGACAAAGATAAAATATTTTAACTCCTATTACCATGGTCAGCCAAGTTAAAATCATCCAGCTTATGAATCACTAATAGCCCCAGGCTTATGCCTTCTATACATCTGCTGCCTGGTGTCAACTGAAAACCCAACCAAACCAGAACAGGAATTGCCTTTGCTGTGCCAAATGCACCAATTCAGCAGCCCCTGAGGACACAATTGATCTTTAATTTTGATCTAACAGGTGTGCTGGGGGGAGCACTGCACTGTGGCAAGAATGCTGAGCTCATTATTTGTGTCAGCAGCACCTCAGAGCAAGTGATGGAGAGAAATGCAGCATTGGACAGTGAGTGAGGACATAGAGAAGCATATTTCTCTCTAAATCACATATTATCTAGAAAAAAATAATCTTGCAGGCCTCATAATGATCAAAAATAAAACAAACTAAAGTCCCTAAGTGAACAAAGAAGCTCTCCAGGCTGGACTAAGAGAAACTTTGGTAAAATTAGTTTTCTGGGCACCACAAGAATAATTCAGTCTTCCACAAGTGGTGGGATGAAGGCTTTTGTGGGGAATAGAAAACACTAATAGCCAAGTACTGGTAATAATAGACAATGGTGACCTTATAGGATACAAGATTTTGGGGAAAAAAGAAAGCATAATGGAAGAAAAGGCTCTTCAGGAGAAGAGATGGGCCCAGAGTCAAAAAGAAAAAAAATCAAAAGTATATAGAAGAGGCAGGGACACAGTGAAGTACCAGGAGGGCTGAGAGAAAAAGGAGATGAAGATAAGTGAGGTCAAAGAGGCAGAGAAGAAATGGACCAAAGCTATCAGAGGTGGAAAGCACCAATGTGCCTGGGGAGCAGGGAGCCAGGCTGGGCTGGTGCAAGGTTAATTGGAGCCACTCAATGGGAGCATTTTGAAAACCAGGGAGATCAGCTGCTGCAGAGGGCAATTCCAACAGCTGGTGGATGAATGTTCTCCCAGTGGTCAGTAAGACAGGTGACTGTAACCACAGAGAGTCCTGGTACCCACCAAGGCCTAATTAAATGAAATCAAGAGCATGTAGCTGAATATCAGCAGGTTCTTCCCGCTAGTGTGAGCAGGACTGTTTCCAAAGGAAATGGGTGAAAGTCCTAATGCTGAGGGCACTTATAAATAGCCTGTATGAGGCATTAGAAAATGTGCTGTAAGGCATAATCCTGCCAACTGGCAAAACTACAGATCACATGGCCAAGGAGGTCTTTCCTATATGGTTTTTTATGATTTTGCAGTTGGAGCAGAGGTGATGAAAGGCAGAATAAAAAAGAAACCAACACAGAAGAGAGGAGTCTGGAACAATGGTTGTGCAAGTCTAGTGCTAAAAAAGATTATGCAAAGCCTAAGGGAAAGAAAATACTGATGTACATGTGTTTACAGCTGCACACCACATCAGGGTCTTG